ATCTCTGCTGCTGCTGTTGCTGCTGCCCTGATAAGTGTGGGAGAGCCATGCTTGTGCACGAATGGGTCGGCTCGACCGGAGTGATACCACGGCCTCACACAAAACCGGCGTGAAATAACCAAAAAGTTGTTTTTCGATGTGTGAGTAAGGTTACCGGAGGCCTAATCCTTCCCCTACCCCAATCCGTTCTCTTTCCCAAAATCTCCGAATCTCTAATCCCCAAAAGGTCGACAACGCACTTGTAACTCCTCCGTCGTTGCGGTTGTCCATGGGCGACGCTGATTGCTTAACATCAGGTAATTAGTTATCTAGTATCTAGTCTAGCGCATAAAAAATCTATCATTATGATTTGAAAGGACGACTGAAGAAATTCTGAATCTAAGAAGTCCTCAAGACATTTTTACATACCTAACTGTAATTATTACATTATTTGTATGGATCGAGGAACTTTGAACAATAGCTCTTTTCCCACCAACTACTCCAACCGAGCAGTATAATAAAGCAGTTATAACCATACATTTAAATAATGATAATACATAATTGCCAAGTCCTAAGAACTAAGAATAATAATTTGTATAATTATAATTAATTTAATGTAACTAAAACCCCTCATAACAAATATTGTTATTACTTTAAACCAAAACGACAGATGTTCATGTATTTATGTGTGTTACGTGTAACTAAAACATTTCGAATATACATACATAGTATGTACACTTGAGAGCAAATTTACGGAGTCACTACAGCTTTTATTTCATTTCTTGAAAGACATTTTCTTTTTGAAAAATATTTAATCATCACCATCAGCCTGATTCCCCCTACTGGATATAGACCTCTTCCTTTACACGCCACTGAGCTCGATGATCAGCTCTTCTCATCCAACCACAGCCAGCCCAGCGGATATCGTCAATCCATCTAGCTGGAAAGCCGCCTTACACGTTATGTACTTTATTAATTGACAGCATACATTATGTGTGTCGTAAAGAGAGTTTTTAATTGTTTTTAAAAGGAGTGTATTTTATAATGATCCTAATTGTTTTTCTCGCTGCTCGGCTCTGACAGACTGTAAGAACCTTTTACATAAGACTCATAGAATAAAGTGAATGTTACTTTGTATATTATTATTTCTTATGTAATAGTAAACGATCTGATTTATCACCTGATAGTTAGTAATCAGTGCTGTCCATTGACACGAATAATACAGAAGGAGTTAATTAAAATAGGATTGTCTGCCTTTTGAGAGTTATTAGGGATTTAAGGTCAGGTTGGATGGCGAAACACAACGTAGGTGTTTTTTTCACGCTATTATTCTGTCAGGCGTGCTATCAAACATAACCATCATTCGTGTCGAAGCATGGCTCTCCTAAACATATGACTGTGTCATATGCTATTATGTGTATCTCTTCGTATAAGTATTTCCTTTTCCGAGAGGGGAAAATCATCATATGACTTCTCTCGCCCACGGTAAGGCGAAAGGGAGTGTCAGACTCTTACTGACTAAAAACCATCCCGTTCATTCTCCTGCTCGAAGCCGGAGCCGCTGTACTTTATTACGCTTGCCCCTTTGAAGTAAAAAAAACTTTAATTAGAACTCTCTAAACATAGCGTTGTTTATTTGTTTTTTGACGTGTGTCCCTATAATTGCTCTCAACTGTAATTGCTTTGTCTGTAGTAATTGTAGAATTATTATAATGAAACCGTCTAGCCTTCTAAAATAAACTAAGTACCTTTTGAAATTACATTTACATAATTTCATAATACTTTGAACCTTTAAAGTTGTTTTAGATTTTCAATGTTAAACTATGTTTTAATACTTCACCGACTATAGACGCACTGAATTTGACTTGTTCAGTCACAGTTTTAAAGACAAAATGAAGGTTAAACAACTCATGTTGTCAAAATATCTCACCGAACCAAGAATATCGATTCATTGACCCACCTAAACGCTCTCAACGACTATAATACCAGCAAAGCAGTAAATAATTAATAAAATACTCCAATAAACTGATACGCGATGATCCCACAGAATATCGTATGCATAGAATTTCCTATGCAGCCCCGTAAATACATAACCCCTTTTTACTGGGAGCAGTCGAGCAAAAACTCACTTAACGTGAAATGACGTCAACATTGAGTGGAGTTTCCATTATCAGTCGTTAATAAATCCTATATAAGGCTAGGTCTTGTTGCTAGCGTGGAAGAAAATAATCGATATAATGAAAAATATTGTGATAAACTCACCGTGGCCCGTTGGTTAAGGTGCCCGCTTTTCATGCACGAGGGCCCGAAAAGCGTCAATGTGACTTTTTCACCACTGACAAACAGTGATTGAAAACATCATGAGGAAACTTGGACTTATAATTTCTAATTATAAGTTTGAAATAAGCAGTCCACCTTGAGAAAGCGTGGTTATTAATGCTTAAAAGGTCTCTGTGTGAGTAATGGCTTTTGTTGAAAAATGTCATCATCGTCATTATCATCAACAATAAGGCAACAAAGGCTGTTTGATACAAGGAATAAGAATGTGCATAAATCGCTACGCATAGGTACACAAAACGAGTGGCGATTATTATTAAAATTAATAGTCAAGATTTCTTAAGGACATTTTTGTTTACCGTCTGTCATTGATATCTAAATAGTCTTAGATAACAGATATAATTGAGGAAAAGTCACATTATTACTTTTCATGTAACAAAACCGCGCCCTTATGCTTAAGAAGCGGTCAGTGGTTTTTGATATATGTTACCCAAAACCTTGCAAACCATATCCTCCATTTATCCTCAATCCCCTAATCTCCTAACCTTAAATCCCTAGCAACTCACAAAAGATCAGCAACGCACTTGAACATGGGCGGCGCCGATTACTTTGCATCAAGCAATCTTAATGTTCGTTAGCCAAAAAAAGTTAATTTCAAATCCCAATAATCGCTAATCGCTGTCAACATAGCCTGAACCTTAGGCTCAGTGTCTCCATCTTTTTCGATCGACGGGATTACGTGTCAATGTACTGGCAATTCTTATTGCCTTCTGATTAATCTCTTTTAAGATTTTCTTTTAGCATAAAAGAGGGAATTAATCATTCATTCATTCGTTCACTCTGATGAATGAGTATTTTATCTTAAGGTGGTCTTACCGGGACTGGGATCCGTTTAAAGAATTAGGTTAAGAAAATTGACGGGATTACTGTTTTTTATTAAATTTATTTAGTTTATTCATTTAAAGGAAATGAACGGGTGGTTGTTAGTTAAAAAGATTCTGACATTTCCCGCCCTAATAACATCGTGTGGAACAAAGTGTGGGAGAGCCAAGCTTCGGCACGAATGGGTCGGCTCGACCGAAGTTATACCACGGCCTCTCAAAAACGGCGTGAAACAAACACAGCGTTGTGTTTCACCGCGTGAATGAGGATACCGGAGGCTCAATTTTTTCCCAACCTCTATCCCTTAATATCCAAAACTCTATTCCCTTAAAGGTTGGCAACGCACTCGTAACTCCTCCGTTGCGGGTTTCCATGGGCGGCGCTGATTGCTTACCATCAGGTAATCCGTCTGCTCGTTTGCCGACCTATTACAGAAAAAAAACTATTATATACTAACACAAATTACCATTTAAGACCAGACTTTAAAAACTCTAAACCCACTAAGAGAATTTTATTATACCTAATAAAAACTGGTTTTAATCACATTTCCAAAAAAAGTGTTGTGTTTTTACAAAACTGTCTACAAAATATCGAACCAATTTCGTGATTTAAAAATTTACTTCGATTCGTAATAACTTCGCCATTTTGAGCTCATTGCGAATTCAATTTGTTTCACTGTGAATCTGATCTACCAAATTCATTTTTACTACTCACTTATACCTTAACAGGACAGAAATAACGTCCAGTTTTACCTGTGCAACTGCAAAAGAAAACATGGTAAACGAAAACTTATCATCAGTATTTGAACCTTATCAGCACAAAAATAAGGACTGAAATTGACAGTATTGATTAACATCAACTGTCAAGTAAACAAAAATAAGTCGACACCGTATTGCAAAGAGAATAAGGTTGAAAATTCAATACTTTATCTGGAAATAAAATTACGTATGTCCAGTACGAAGTTCGTTGCGGCAAAGTTGGTTTGCAGTTTGTAAAATTCTTAATTCTATTGTGATAGGGTTGAGAATTGACTATTTTAGGTTTGTTTTAAGGTTGTATTTGTATCGATGGACAGCAGAAAGGGTGTGTCTAGACTAATTTAGTGAAATATTAATGACATCAGCTGTTCAATACTTGGCATTTACAATTATTGTTTGCGATTTCAGTACAAATTGGTTGAATTACAAATATGTTTCGACAAAATTACTACTTACATTGATATGTGCTATAGAGATTTGTAAGGCCAATTAATATTGTGATATTTTGATAGTAAACGATACCCCGTTCTATAGTTTTGTCGTGTGTTGTGGGTGCGTTTACAAACATACCGACAGTACAATACAGCAATTTTACATATGTACATATTATACCCAGACCTGGAACAACAGTTTGTATATCTGAAAGAGTTGCCCATACGGGAATCAAACCTGCTATGTTACACAGAACTGCGTCATTCAGACGCAGTCATTTAATTTGCTGAAGTTTTTGCAGAACTTAGGTTTTTAATGTGCTTCAAGTTTTTTGCTAGTTGTTTGTAAATTAGAATTATTCGCTGTTGGTTATTTTCTACTAAGGACACAATTCACTCAATCCCTAGATACAATATTGTTGACGAGAATTTCGCTTAAAAACTCTATAACATTTCAATTTTAGGCCATCACTTGCCTGTGGTTAAAATATATCAAAAAATTAAACGCCATATATATTTCTAAGTGCATAACTCGTGAATAGTTGAACTTATTTTGATAATTCGTCTTTATCGGTTTTCATAATATATAGTTTAATAGTGCGAGGTGCTGAACGTGAGACCGCTTCCGCGTCTGGTCAATATAAAATGTAAGTTTAAAAACATACCCACGACACTAGTGTAGGACAGCCATGCTTTGGCACAAATAAATCGGCTCAACCGGAGTGATACCACGATCACACAGAAAACCGGCGTGAAACAACCACAGCGTTGTATTTTGCAGTGTGAGTGAGGTTACCGAAGGCCTTATCCCCCTCAATACCAAAATCTCCAAATCCCTAATCTCTATCAGGTCGGGAATGCACTCGTAACTCTTCCGTTTTTTCGGGTCCATGGGCGGCTCTAATTGCTTGCCATCAAGCAATAAGTAATCTCGATTGCCGTCCTATCACATAAAAAAAATAATTATAGATTGAAAACAAAGTCAATACTAACAATCTGAATCTCTGACCGCAGTCCGCAATGCCTGACTCAATCAGACAATCTTGTTTTAATATTTCATATTTTCAGGCTGAAAATTTAACTAGGTCGACCTCGGATAAACCAGATGTGTCTGAATTTTCATGCTTAATATTTCACTTGACCTTATAAACCCAATTACTGACCCAAACGACTGTTCCAAGATGTAAGTACTTAGTTTTTGATCTGGTTAGGTCTAAATGTCTAGACTAGATATTCTGTACTTGCCATCACCCACGGCTCCGACCGCGTGGATATCGATTTTACACTTTTAAAGTATTTTTTTGTTATTTTCTCTACGTACAAATCTTCTCTTCAGACTTCCACAAATAATTCAAGACCAAAATTCGCCAAATCGGTAAGGGAAATGTGGTGTTCTAACGTTACAATGAAAAGTGGCAGATATAAGACCACATATACTAACACACAGGTACTCATACCGCTTACGGCTGATGCTGCAATATATATATATGTATTGAATATCGTATAAAATTACTGCAATATATATATTGAACTATGAGTACCTGTGTGATAGAACATCATCATTGAAATGACCACCTAGTCCATCATCGTGGTGGCTCGGAGGTCAGGCATCTCATGCATGAGGGTTCGAAACCTGGCAAGTACCAATGTGACTTTTTTCGAGTTATAATATGTACTTTCTATGATCATTTAGACACCACTGACATGCATACAGTAAAGAGAAGCACGTGAGGAAACTTGGACTTATAATTAACAATTACACTATAAGTTTGAAATCGCCAATCTGCCTCTAGCAAGCGTGGAGCAATGCACAAATCTTCTCCGTGTGAGTAAGGCACTTGCTCAGCTGTGGGCACTTATAGTCTGATGATGATTTAACTATTTACTCACATGGTTTTACATAGAAAAACTCTAAAACTAAACTAAACTCAAACTACCCAAGGATATAAAAGAATCCAAGAATTTAAATGTATTTAAAAACCAGTAAAAAATTCCTTATTGATAAATGTTATTATTCTGTTATTTAAATGATAAATGTAAATGACTAGTTATTATAATATTGAATTAATTGATAATGTAATGGAATTTGAAGATGTAATGTTTTGTTTATATTAAAATTTATAACTAATATTTTAAAATTGGTAAGATTGTTAAGAGAATAATTTACTATGTAATTTGTATTTATACCTAATGTTTGCACACCTGTCATGGTAGGATATGGTCTAAAGCTCTTATATAAAAATGTCACCTCTTGAACTACCCATATTTCGCAAATAAATGATTCTGATTCTGATTCTGATTCTACTAATTTCAAGTCACAACAACACTACACACAACAAAACTCTTATTCATCATGCGGTGATGTCGCGCAGTCAACAAGAGTAATTTACATTTATTTTGCCACACGATAGTTTCTATAAAACAGAAAATGATTATTGACCTTTTAAATCTAAGGTCAAGGTTGTAGTGTCAACTGCATTCAAACTGTGTGTGAAATGCAAACATGCACTTGAAATGCAATTGGTCTGCGTAGAGTCTAAACCGAGTTGTGTTTGACGCCTCCAAACCTTTCTAAAATACTTACACAGTTTATTTTTGCTTGTGCTCTTTTTGCTCGAACTTTAATATCATATGGTTATAATTTCAACCAACGAATGAGTAAAGGTGCACATTATACAAGACGACTTCCACATTCCACTAATTATAAAACCTATTTTTTTTTGTGTTGAACTCGTGGACACATCTAGATACCATGCTATTAGTGGGAATTACTCATAAAAACGAAAGACCTACAATATTTTGACAGACTAAAGAAGTTGGACGCACTTGTGCTTAATAGCAAAGCTAAAAATCTGATTCGTGAAACTGAAAACCATTTACTATACCTCATCTTTTACATTGTCCGGACTTAAAAAGAGACTGACCTCTGAGTTTGTTTCGGCATTTCTTGTCAGAGTAGTCAGATAGGCTTTATCTAGTTTTTCACATATAAATTGACGTGTAAAAGTGCCGTTTTATGGCCTATTTGCAAAAATAAATTCATTGTTCCAAGTCGAAGTAAGCACTCCACTATCAAATGTCAAACAAAAATATTGTACTTTCAACTCGACGCGACGAAAAATTTCATATCTGCACACTGTGTTGTTTCATTCAAAAATAAAACAATAAAAGTGGTATTTTTCTCGCAAAATGTGGCAAGACAGAGACGTATGACCCTCTGTCGTTATACAATGCAGAAGTAAGTGAACACTTTATGAACAATGGCGGGTGTTACGTCATCACTACCTAAGCACTAAGTAGTCTCATTTTGCTGTGATTTCAGTAGCTATTATTCCCAAGAAAGATCTCTCTTACTTGCTTTATTTCGAATAATATAGCTTATTTTCTTAGGTATACATCTTTTTTTTTAATTGAAACAGGTCTATCTTAACCGTTTGCAACCAGTGCAACTCCTGTGAGCCAGGATGTAGATCCTATAGATACAAACATGAAAGACAGAATTCCGACGCATTCCAAGGACATGAACAATTGTCTTGGATATTACGAGAGGAGAACAAAACGAAAAAGTTTCCAGTTCCCGTTAATAATTTAATGCAAGAGTTAGAATGACTTAAGCTTTAAAGGGACAAAGAGACTACCCAACTGGGAGAAACCCAGGCGCCAACTAACAAAGAAGTATATGTTAATGTGACGAATCCCATCAGAACTGCTTTTTTATAGAATTCATCGCCAAAAGAGCAGGCAGACTACCTGATGGTAAGCAATTGGTGCCGTCCATTGACACCCGAAATGTCAATTGAGTCTCTATCAATGGACGGTTGATGAAGAAGATTTGAGTATTGATCATATCTGCAACGGTTAGTCAGCATAGCAACGATTTTCTCTGAGGCTGTAGTGTCGTTCTGGTCAAGCTAGCCAGCGAGTACCATACTACTGCCAAAAAATAGAGGTGGTAAACAAAAATTTATAAAGTTTTTTCTTTTTTCAAACTACATGGTTATTTTGATGGGTAATAATGTTAACCAAGAAATACTTTAAAACCTATGTATATACTTTGGCACCATATCTAAAAGAGAGCACACAAAAACCAACTTACCTATCTTTCATGGGGCCTTCAGGTCTGTCGATGGCAGTATTTCCTGATATGGAGTAGACGTAGAGTCTGGACTCCGATTTGTACCATTTGATGCTGTGCATGGCGCCACAGGATCTGCCATCGATGCGGCAGCGGAGACGCGCTGTTGTACCAACGATAGCTGATGCATGATCTGAAAGAGAAAGAAAATTCGAATTGAATTGATTTCAGAAGACCTCAAGAGCTGAAGTGTTGTATTTTTTAGTAATTTCTTGATATTTCCTTTTGTAAATTTTGAATAACTGATCTTTCTATTTTGAAGTTTGGGATACTAGATGCTACGCAAATTAGCGCGATTTTAATTGTAATACCATTGTAAGCGCATGTCTGCGGTCGACGAGCTAATTCGCTGCCCATCCAGAACCTGATCCGAGCGTGCGGTATATAGTGATTCTCGCGCGTCTCAAAAAGCCAATAGACCACCATAGATAGGACCCAAATGGGCCGATGCTTATAGCCTGGGTTACGGGTTAAGCTAAGTTGCAAATATTTATTTCCTTGGCGAGAGAAATCATTTGTTAATTTACTTCGTCAAAAAATAACAACTCATGTTTTCGATATATTTATAAATCGTTTTGCACAGCCTAGGTATTTTGCTTTTCGAATAAGTCCCAAAAAGCAAGAAAAACGTAGAGTAAGACAGCAAAATGTTTTTATAAATTTTCCGTTAAGATAAAAGAAAATTTGTTTTATCCTCTCAACGCAATAAAATTATTTAATTCTTCTGAATAAGAACGTGCATATATTTATTTACAATAATAATAATAATATTTACTTTACGTAATAAGATAAATAGCAATCAAGAATTGCGCATACACTACCTCATTTATGAAGTTCAGATTTATCCAGATATTACGTTGGTAAAATAAGTTTTCATCAAATGAAAGCCTGCGTTCAATACTTACTAATGAACTCATTGTGAAAATAAAAGGTTTTATTTTATTATTTTACTTGTATTTTATTAATGATGACTTCGCACGGATGCGATGATGATACTTAATATCTACACCATTTAATGGATGTTATTATAAATATAAATATTCATACTAAATTACCCTGTCTATTAAAAAAACAACGCATCAAAATCCGTTGCGTAGTTTTAAAGATTTGAGCATACACGAGTATATAAGGACAGAGAAAGTCACTTTTTATACAATGTTGTAGTGAAGACTCAGTAATAAATTAACTCATATTATGTTTAAGGTAACAATTAAGTTATATTAGAACAATTTATTTCACAAACACATTACATGATCAAGCTTTTACAATTTTTATAATGAACAAATAACAACACATGAAAATAAATTTGATATTCACGCACAATTTTATTCACAAAGTGATTGGTTTATACTATGTAGACTTGTACAGAATAGTTTTCGGAATAAATATTATATTTTTATATCAAAAGCACTGTATTTTAATATCTATACAGCTATTATGTACCAAAAAATGTAATTGGTACAATCTCACTGATATATATATATATACGTCATGGTAGCCCGATAGTTGAGTGTCTTAGGTTGAAGGTAAAGCATATGAACTGCGGCTAAAATAGAAGAAGAAACGGGATGGCTTAAGTCAGTAAGAGTCTGACACTCCCTTGGCCCACCCAAGGAGGGCGAAGATATTTTGATGAATCAGCCTCTAAAAAAGACGTCATTCCACTACTGGATAGACAGGTACTTTACCAAATAAAGCCATATTGTTAAAACTTGCACAGCTCGTCTTAACCATAATCCTGCCATTCGGTGCGTCCTCAGCGAACAAGGCATTTGAGGTCATTTGATGATTTTCCCCATCTCAAAAAAACAAACAGTCAATGTATATGTGACATTAGCACCCCTATCTTCTCTTTCGTAGATTAAAACTCGTAACAGAACTCATACAAACAATAATATTACAAAATACCGCTTTGAAACAACAGTGCAATAGTATTCAATACAAAATGAACGAGTGTTAAACAAAGCACGCTATTTAATTGAACCAGATGGAACCAGAGATAACTGGATCGCACCGCCGATATCCGCTTCATACCAGGATTATTTGGAATACTGAACAATGGTTAAAACGGTTTTAAATGTTTTTTCCTTTCTTTTTTTTTTGTATTTCTTTTGTGGGAGTTTAAAAGTATAAGGAAATTACAAGTATATATATATTATAAGTACATTTTTTTAGAAAGGAATTAAAACATCTTCTAAACTTGTCAATAAGACATAAGAATGTCATTTTTCAATAATTTGACTTTTAAATTTAACGTCAAAGTCGAAATCAATCTTTTCATAAGATAGTTCTGCAAACGAGCTGTCGGATTACCTGATGGTAAGCAAAAAGGAATTTCGAGTACATTGCCGGCCTTTTGGGGACAAGTGTTACGGATATTTAAGGACTGGAAAGGGATAGGGGAGGGGTAAGAATGAGGCCTCCCCTATCAACACAACTCTGTAGATGTTTCACGCCGGTTTTCTGTGAGGCCGTGGCAGCACTCTAGTCGAGCCGACCCATTCGTGCCGAAGCTTGGCTCTCCCACACTTATGCGTCTGATCGTTTACAGACCAACAGAGAAACCACCACGTTTCATTATTTATACCTATCTCGAGGTCAATGTTATAGGAAGCAAGCTTATTGTCCTAAATTCACCCAAAAAACCATATCCTCAACAAAGACACCGAAAAACATGTACCTATGTTAAAAACATCCTCACTATTGACTTCCAAAGCTATGAGTAAAGTTTTAAGTGGCCCTTTGTTCTTATAAAACTTTTGACTCGTCACGGATGCTCGTTCCGTGTCATGAAAAGGTCCAAACCTGTTTCTATTTCAGGAACAAATTTAATACACTTATAGACAATAATAGAATTTATATTATTATGTATTTTTTATTTATACCTACATATATATAAGAAATTAGCGAATCGCACCTACTGCAACGCTAATACTTCATTTCTCCACTATTTAATGGGCGTTATTAGCTTATAAACCTTACTCTTCAATCACTCTATGTATTCAATAAAACCGCATCAAAATCCATAGCGTAGTTTTCAAGATTAAAGCATACATACATAGGAATATAGGGACAGAGAAAGCCATTTTGTTTTATACTATGGAGTGAAGACGCAATTAATACATTTAGTACCCTTTTTAACTAGAAACTTATAATAAAACAACTTATTTCATAAACACCCAACCTTTCTCCAATCAACCTTTTATAATTTTTATAATAAACAAATAAACACACATAATAAACATTAACACTTCTTATTAAAAAAAAATCATTCTCAGAGAGAAGTACCAGGCGAGCAGGAATAAATAGAAGGTCTAAAGTGAACGTTTTATTTTAATTCTACGTTCGAAACATAATGTACTTAATACGAATGAGGAATTATGAGAGAGTCTACTTGTCCGTTTTTTTCTACCTATAGCTTAAGTGTTCTGTTTTTAAATTTATTTTTATTAATACTTAAAAAATAGAATTCACATATACGTTTCATTGTATTTTTTTTTACAAATAAAGTTATCAATATTTTTGGTAACAATTATTAAAAAAAAGAAGATCGACCAACTGCGTAAGTATGTGTGTTTCTGTCTGAATTCAGAAAAGGAATGCGAATCCGGTCGAATTGAAATAAATGATTTGAATTCGTATTTAATTTTAAATGTATTTAACCATTGGTTTTGATATGTACCAATCGAATTATTAACTACGTAATAATATAAGTAAGGTTTCCAACAATTTTACTGTTTAAAGACCTCTTCTATCATAAAGATGTTAAAATAACCTGGTAACCTCACTCACACGGCGAAACACAACGCTGTGGTTGTTTCACATCGGTTTTTATTAAGGCCGTGGTGACACTCTGGTAGAGCCGACTCATTCGTTTATGCATGGTACGTGCATGGCTCTCCTACACTAAAATCCTTTTCCTACCCAAATCTTTTTCATTCTACAGCCAAGATGTTATTTTTGCTAGAACCCAGCCTAGTAGTTGCATAATCCCAAAATTGCTAGCTTGAATATTTTATAATATACGCGGCTTTTGAAGCAAGCAAACCTGAACGGTGGAATGAGATGAATACAGTTTTTGAAGCTAAACTGTTTTGTACGAGAAAATTGGTGAAAATTTTACAATGCTTCAATGTTTCAATAACACAATGTTTCATAAAAGTCAAATTTGTCGATGTTTTTTTATAGACAAGTTCTTTTTGAAATATCAGTATGGAACTGTCGAACTAGCAAGTCATTCTTTTTTTATGAAATAGCCCGCCTACGAGCAGCCTTGTCCCTGATGCTAAGCAATTGGCGCCCGTCCCTCGCGGTCGGAACACCATAGGAGCTACAAGAACCCTTCTGTTGTATGTTGTTAATTGAAAATCATCAAATGGCTTCTCCCGCCCAAGGTTAGGCCAGAGGGAGTGTCAGAATCTTATTGACTAAAAACCCCCCTGTTTTTTCTCCTGCCCTGGGCCGAGGTCGCGGTGCCTCATTGCGCTTACCCCGCAACCTCGACTGAACATCAGCCCTATAGGGCCCCGTCTGTGGTGGTCTATTGGGTCTTTGAGGCGCGCGCGGAACGCTACGCGCCTTACGCTCGGGTCTGGTTCTGGACGGGCGGCGAGCTACCCTTATTCGCCGTCCGCAGACCCGCAATTACGGTGGCCGGAGATCATCAGTCTTTCGATTGTTAGAGATGTGAGGATTAAGAATTAGGTAGGTATTAAAAATAGCAGCGCTTGGGTTGATAAAGAAATTCATTTTTGTGTTTATTTGATAACCTTTCAGATATTTTCATAGACTTGTTGTATTACTAAAGCAATAACAATTGAAATCGATTCTAGTGAAAGTCACAAATCATTTATTTGAATTAATTCCTTACAGGCACTTTTGAACGTCAATCAAAATTTAAAGATATGAAGTGTCAGTCTGTCGGTCAGTCCTTTTAGTGAAGCTATTTGCTCGTTCTATACTTGGCTAAGGCTTAGAGAACAGATACTTTACTATTTCCTATCAAATAACTACATAGATCCTTACATTATCGTTTACAAACCAACATTAATGTTTAGTTATGTTTAATAAAAGTTACAGAAATGAATAAAATTTATGTAAACAGACTTTCTACAATGAATTCCCACAAAGCTTAGAGAAAAACCAGGGAATAGCGAATGTAAGTGTTTGTAGATTTGTACAGATATTCATTATCTTTTATTTAATTTTATCCTTTGTTCTAATTGTTACATTATAGAGAATGTAGTCGAGAAATTATAATTTATTTTGTAGGATAATTTTACTAGCTTGAAATTTGTGTTTTGTTTTTTCATAGTCAACGTTTGGAATATGTACCAGCAGCGCCAGTTTTATGTGAGGACATGGCGTCTCTCCGGAAGAGCTTGTCCATTCGTGGTGTAGCTAGTTCTTTTAAATTAAATAACCCAATTAAGATTTAATTTACCAGTTTAAACAAACTATTCTTTCATATCAAGAAATAAAGTTATTGTTTTTAAATTCCAGGTAATGATAAGGTTTTCGCGCGCACCTCAAAGAGCCAATAGACCACCGGCCTTCTACAAGGCTAGGGCTGATGTTCAGCTTGAGTTGCGGGGCAAGCGTAATGAGGCACCGCGGCCACGGCCTAAAGCAGGAGAAGGACCGGGGGGATTTTTAGTCAGTAAGAGTCTTTCAATAACACTCTCTCTCGCCTTACCCTGGGCGGGAGAAGTCATTTGATGATTTACCCCTGACAAAAAAAAGGTATGACAAGTATTATTAAACTACCAATCAATCTGTGAGTCAATAAGTGAAACCTATTTTCACCAGTGGCTTTTTTTTTGTAAGGGAAAAATCATCAAATGACATCTCCCGCCCAGGAGCGGGCGGCAGGGAGTGACAGACTCTTACTGACTAAAAACCCCCCTGTCCCTTCTCCTGCTTTGGGCCAAGGTCGCGGTGCCTCATTGTAAAATCATTAAATTATTAATTTAATTTATTTTTGCTTAAGTAGTAAACTGTACAATAATTATTGATTAGGTCAATGTGATGTGAATCGATGGTTGAGTTTTAGTAGTGAGCGAGTTCAGAAAATTACAGTTTATCATATTGATTCTTACGTTTGTGCGTTCTGTCTCGAGTTGAAGTTGTTACTATTCTAAATTGAAGACTGCGACGGGAAACCATCCAATATGCATTGCGTAATCATCAGAATATCAACATGAGTCTAATAAAATATAAAATAGGTGTACCTACGTAAAACTTACAATTTAAGTATTTCTATTATGTTAGACTAACAATGTAAGTCGTGTACAAGATCAACACATACTTTTTATCATTTTTATTATAAAATATTATAAAATATTTCACAACTATGAAGCAGCCACTCTAGAAAAATTTCAAAGCGCTGCCTTATCTTCTGAGGACGCACCAAATGACAGGATTATGGTGAAGACGTGCTATGCAAGTTTTTACAATATTGCTTTATTTGGTTAGTGTTTGTGTACCCAGAAGAAGAGAATGAGGTCTTTTTTAAAAGCAGATTTTTTTTTATTGTATAAGTCGGCAAACAAGCCTACGGATTATCTGATGGTAAGCAATCAGCGACACCCGCAACACCAAAGGAGTTACAAGTGCGTTGCCGGCCTTTTGGGGATGGGGGTTGTGGATATAAGGATTGAGAAGGTATAGGGGAAGAGGAGGGATTGGGCCTCCGGTAACCTCACTCACACGGCGAAACACAACGCTGTGGGTTGTTTCACGCCGGTATTCTGTGAGGCCGTGGTATCACTCCGTGCAGAAGCATGGCTCTCCCATACTTAAATTCTTTAATTAAGATTCACCAAAATTCTTCTCCTTCCCTAGGTGGGAGAGTGAGTGCCAGTTTCTTTCTGACTAAAAACTACCCCTTTTCTTCTCCTACTCCGCTTTGCGGTACGTTATACTTGCATCGTCAGTCGTGGTGGCCGGAAGGTTAAGGAGCCCGCTTCTCATCCATGAGGGTTTGGGTTCGAAACCTGGCAAGTACCAATGTAACTTTTTCCGAGTTAATGTACTTTCTATGATTATTTAGACACCACTGACATATGGTGAAGGTAAACATCGTGAGAAAACCTGGTCTTTTAATGTCTTATTATAAGTTTGAAATCGCCAACCCGCATTGAGTAAGCATGGTCATCAATAAATAATATAAAAAATATAAATGTTTAATAATATAAATGTTTATTTGTTATAAAAAGGTAGATTACAAATGTATAATATCTTAAGTCTAAGGCAAAGTACAATGTTTAACATCAACCTGAACTAGGTGCAAACCTGTGTTTCAGGTAAAAAAGTGCTGACATACTTCTACTACAATATTATTGCTTATCAAACTAAACTTATGAAATATAACAATTAATTTAAATAATTAGTATCTAAGTGTTACAGGTGCGCGTGTAAAATTACATAAACAGACGTCAGCTATTATTATATTATTTGCAAACCTCAAGTAATTCCTCAGTTTATTCATATGTTAGGGTATCAATGCTCTAACCTTCTTCGTATGAGAAGAGTCCTTTGCTCAGCAGTGGGCACTTATAGGCTGATGATGATGATGATGATGATACTTGCATCTGAGAGCTTATTCTTGGATTACGAATTCTTCAAATTATGTTATCTTCATGTCTGATAGATACGAGATTTCAGTTTAAATGGTTCAAGTTTATCAGCAAGTGATTCATAGTGGTTTTAGCTAAGCGTGTAGAGACTGTTCTGTGGAGGATTACGATATACTTTGCGTGAAATAACCACAACGTTATATTTCGCCAAGTGAGTGACGTTATAGGGGGTCCAATCTTTCCCCTCTCCCAATCTCTAAATGTCCAAAACCTTTATCCCCCACAATGTTTGGCAACACACTTGTAACTCTTTCTTTTTTGCTGGTGTCCATAAGCAGCGCTGATTGCTTATTTTCCAACTGCTCATTTGCAGTACTACTATTTGCACTTTAAAAAACCTACAGGACGAATAAGGTTAACAAAATATGTAATGTTCAATGGAACAATAAATTTATTTTTGCAAATATTTCCTTAAAACGGCACTTTTACATGTCATTTTATATGTGAAAAAAAATTTTGCAAATCAGTCCACGCGTCTTCGAGTAATCGGTGTACATACATAAAAAAAAAATACTCGTCGAATTGAGAACCTCCTCCTTTTTTTGAAGTCGGTTAAAAACTAGATGAAGCCGGCCGTTCTCTATTATAACACACGATCATATATTAAATACGCGGATTCCGCTCCCGCTTCCGCCTCAACCAACCGCTACCTTACAGCTTAACTCCCCAGTGTAACAACTGCTAATTTTGTTGCGAGAAAAATGCGCCATAATCCAGGAGCTCTGCTCGCTCCCTCCACGGTTTAGCGTCATAAAAACTTGTTCGCCAGCTTGAGAATTTTATACTTTGTAAATTGTGGAACATGCAAACCATTTTGAAGTAATCTTGGATGCTGATCCAGATTTCTCTTTTCTTTTGAATAGACGGAAATGTTTTTCATGAATAATATATTTATTATGACAAAACTTAAAAGGCAGAGGATAGAGAAGCCAAAGATTTTGCCATTTTCGAATATCATCCATGGTTTTAGACTAGTATGTCGTCCCAAATCCCACAAAAAATTTGTAAGTACGACATTTTACTCGCGAGTCACTGAGCCAGTTAATTAAAAACAAAACAGAAAATTTAAATACAAATTTAGAACACTCTATCTAAAATGAGATTCGAATCAATTATACAAGACAACAGAGGTCAGTCCAAAGCGTTAATATTAGATAACATCAGTAAAATCTTGACCTCAGACCTCACCTTTGAAAAACCCGCGTCAAATTTAAATCTCATTTACTTATTCATCAATTCTTTTATA